TTTAATTATTTTTATTATTATTATTATTATTTTTAAATTTTTTTTAATTTGCTTCTTCTTCGGCGATGGATGGGAAAATCCGGCAGAGCCGGAGGTCGAGGTCGCAGCGGGACCGCGTGCGGCGGCGGGAGGCGGCGGCCCGCGACCCGCGGAACCAGAGCCCGTCGTCGGGCTCCGAGAAGGAGCCGAGCCCCGGGAAGGAGAACGGCGGCCAGAACTGCACCGCCCCGCGGGGCCCGCCGCCCGCCGCCCGCGCCGCGCGGCCCCCGCGCCGCCGCCGCCGCGAGTCCAGCTCCCAGGAAGAGGATCTGATCGATGGCTTCGCCATCGCCAGCTTCAACACCCTGGAAGCGCTGGAGGTAAGAGCGGCGGGGGGCCACGGGGGGCTCTGCCCTCCCCGCGGGGCGGGGGCTGGGGCGGGGAGGGAGGGATGGGGAGGTGGGGGGGGATGGAAGGAGGAGAGGAGGGAAAAAATAAAAATAAAATAAAACTGAGAAAGGGAGCGCGCGGCTGCCGAATTTTGCAAATGGCAATTAAGGTGCGTTAATCGTGGCGTCGAGCCCCCCGGGGGGGGATCCCGGGGCTGCCGGGCCGGCCCGGGTGCTCGCGGCTCCGCTGGCAACTTAGTGCCCCCCTCCCCTCCCTTTTGCTCCTTCCCTCCCCCGGCCCCCTCCTCTGCCCGGCTCCGGCCGCTGTTTCGCCTTCACTTCGGGCAAGTCGAATGTTTGTTTGGGGTTTTAATTGGCTGCAAAATATTCCTGGCGTGTTGGGATGGTCCGGCATTGTTGTGAATGGTGGAGCTTCCCCCCCACCTCCCGCCCTCCTTCCTCCCGCTCCCCCCTCCTCCAGCTCGGGAGTTTGTGTTTGCGTTGCCAAAATGTTACTTTATCTGTCTCCGGAGATTGTTAGCAAATGGCTAGTGTTTGACATTTTGTGGAAAAGAGATGTTTAAATGGATAATAATCCCTCGGTTGTAATTCCCATTTTTGAAGTAATTGAACAAATTCTTCATCTCTTGTTGACTGTACATATTTTTCTGGTGTTAATAGGCTGGCAAAAAATATTGCTTGTCTAACTTATTACAAACAATATTTGCTGAGCAAATACTGTCTGCCTTGTCTGAGCTAAGTTAAGCAGAGCAGGAAATTTAATATTTTCAGAGGGGCATTGACAAACTATGACTTTGGCTTTTGATTTTTGTTTTGTTTGTGTACAAGGGGAAGAAGTGAGTTGTCGAGAGGAAGCATCTAACAAGTTGCTTGGTGGGTGTAATAACTTGAATTCCCAGTCAATATGAGCAATGCTGGTGCCTTTGCCCACTTTCCTTGACACACTGTGATAAAAACGTGGGCAAAGTTTTGGGTGCTCTCCCTACTTTGGATTTCCTGCCACTTGTGTGTCTATAAACCTGTGGTACAGTGGTGAAGAGTTCTGCTCAGGCTAATGAATAGTCTCAGATTTGCCCTGGGATCTTTAATGTCTTTGGCTCAGACTTTGAAGTCCCATTTTGTTTGAGGGCTTTGCTGCTCTCCAGCCCACCCCTCCTGCCCTGCAGGCCTCTGGTGGCATCGTGGTTATCTGGAGTTTTTCACCTGTAGAACTGACCTCTCAGAGTCCCAGAGATGGTCCCTGTGTGCCCACAGGGGTGTCGGCGGTGGCCTTGGCCATCTGCTGACGTGTCAGGACCTGCTCAGAAGGGGTGTTTAGTCCAGTGGTCCCTGAGCAGCCCTGGGTGTGCAGGTACCAGAGGGGGAAGTGGTTTGTGTTGGCTTGGCCGTGGCTGTTCCCTGTCTTTTTGCGGCGTCATTTGTGGGGTGTTGTCCTAACAGGAAAGCCAACTACTTTGTCCATGCAGAACTGATAATGAGCAACCAATCTGCTTTCATGTGCCTCTAAGCCGAGCCCTAGACCTGTCTGTATATTGCTATTTTTTTTTTCTTGGGCATGCTCTTAGTCAAATATGCATCAGCAGATAAGTCCAATTAAACCCCTGAGTCTCTGCTGAGCTGTCAGTGAAGAAAGTAAAATTCATCTTCCTGCAGAAATTTTCTACCATGATGAGCACATCATCAGGAAATAGAATTCAAATGATAGTGCAGTCCCTCCAGGCTGATGGGGAAAACTCTGGGCTTTTCAAGTGGGATGAGCCTTGTTACTGAATCACCCAAACCGTAACCTTGATAATAAGGCTCACAAGGGCTTCTACCCTTGTGACCTTAAACTTCTGCCACCCTGAGGTACTTCCATCTGTGGAAGCGCTTCTGTTTCTTCTTTAAAAACAAAAATCCACAAAACAATCTTTACAAAACAATCTGCTTTCAACTGTTGCAAAATACTTGAGTATCACCTGCCATTGACCGATTTCTACTGTATTTGCCACCATGCAAGTGAACACGTGCACCTCAGCATCTGGGGCGATGTTGGCACCTCAGAGGGAGAAGTGTGAGCAGAATTCACCTGTTTCACACCAGCTGGGTGTGTTGTATTCGAGGTTGTTGTATTCTTGGCAAGTCCTAATGACCGTGTGCATTCCCTAAACCCCTCTAACACTAAAAAGAAGAAAATGCTTAGTGTTGTGTGGATTTGTCCATGCAGTGCTGCCTTGGACCAAGGGTGATGTCTGGCAGGTGTGATGCAGCAGCAAGGGAAGGGAATTGTTAAGGCAGAATTACTTTAAAGCAGTGTATGCCCATGTAAATAACCAAAATTGCAAGGTCATTTTGTGTCGTGTGGAGCTGTGTTCTCTGGTGAACTTGAGGGCAACAGGTGGTTTTCTTCTGCTTTGGAGGAAATCTGTACTTTGGTGTGTATTTGTTTTTTAAGAGGACTTAAAATCTGCTGCAATGATATTTTAAAAATAAATAAGAATTCTGTGTTCGTGAGGGGGGAGAAAGTATAAAAGTGAGTACACAACCTAAGGACAGTACTGAATGAAGAAAGTATTTTATTTAACTTTTTAATCCTAAAAGGAGCTTTTGTTGCATATGTGGTGGTTCATTGTGGTGTTCTAGGTTGGTTTGTTGCTTGATGTTACAGTGATCTGTGATTACGTGCAATAGACTAAGCTTTGGGCTTCCCCTTGGAAATTAAATTTGTCAATATTTAGGTAGAACTTAAGGGTAGAATCATTTGGGAGAGGTAAGGTGGTTTTTGGTTTGTTTCTCTTTGTATCTCAAAATATTGTGAATTCCCCTTCCCTACTGAAGCAAATTCTCACTGCTGGTGTTCCTGTAAATAAAGGGTGCTTTATAGAATAAATACATATATTCTTCATTTGTGTTGACCTGGGAGTGTGGGCAGTTAAGCCTGAGGGATGGCTTTGAGATCTCTGTTAGCTCTTTGGTGAGAATTTCAAGCATTTTGGATTTTGTTTTAACTCATGTGGCAATGTTTACTTTGGCAGTTGTCATCTGAGAATCATGTTTCTTGTTTTGGCCTTACTTGTGACTTGACTTATGTATCTCTGATCCTACCATCTTCCAAATAAAGACTGAGTTGATTATGTATATATTTTAAATTAAGGAAAAAAGAATAAAAAAGCCCACAGACAAACAAGCAACAGCCTCTTTCTGTGCGTAAGAAGTTAAAACTTCCCCTTTCCCTTCCTTCCCTTGGATCTTCATGCATAAATCCGGCTCAGGTTTCACACAGGTTAAAGCTGAGGTGTGTGTGGTGGTGTTTTAGGTTTTTCATATCCAGTTGCTGATCACGACTTTGGACTTAACCTGGGAACTTGGTTTGCTCTGAGCTGTTGGCTTGAGGTGGTCAGTGAGATGGGCAGCTCCTGGAAAACCAGCAGGATATGGTGATGCCTCCCTGTGCCAGGAGTCAGGAAAGCTGGCTGGGCTGAGCCCCGGGGGATTTCTGCCGGCCTCCCGAGATGAATGGTATGGATGGGAGCATGTGTGTATATTCATTACGTTCAGATGAAGCTGCTAATTATTCTTGAAGGTGATTGGTGAATCAGAGCGAGAGAATCTAAATGAGTGAGTCGGTAGTTGAGGGCTCTCTCTGATCATAGCTGTTCCTTTCAAGTATGAAAAACAGCGCTAAAAGGGAACTTCATCAGAATGTTAATGAATGCGATCTTTGAGAGCAATTGTTCTCCCAAAGTAGTTGAAAAGACAAGGGGTTGTGTTTTCTTTTTGGTGGTTGTTTATCATTTTTACAGATTCCAGCAAAGCTTTGGAGCTCTGAATGGAAATTTTAACTTTCATGATGTGTGTATGGGTTTTTTAGCAACGTTTAACCTATTTATGGAATATATTGGAGGATCCGTGCTCGGATGTGCGTGATGTGCTGTGTAGAAGTGGATCCCCAAGCTGGAAGGAGTCAGACCTTGGCTGGGTGCACGTGGTGGGGAAGTGGAGGTGCTGCCCTCCCAAGCTGAGCTGGGGCCCAGCTGTGCCTGGTGGCAGACCCTGAGGAGATGAAAGCTTTGCCCACTCTCCCTTGTGTTCACACCCAGGGCTCTGGCAGTGCTGACTCCCAGTCCCTTCTCTGCTGTTTGTGCCTGAGTGTAGCAGAGTTCAGAAAGCCTGTTGGTGATAGGAGACTTCTGGACAAAATCCATAAGTTCTCCAGCTGTCATCTTGATAAGGCTGTTTTCACATGTGTGCTGTGCACTGTCCTGTTACTGTTGCTCTGATCTCTCATTGATAAGAAAACCAGTGTATTTAGCTGCAGCTTCCTGCTCCAAAGGTTTTGTGCTAGTTCCACTGACCTAGCTATGTAACTTCTGATTTGTCATCATCTCTCTCTATATGTACTGTGCAGCTTTGTTTTTTCTATAGCTATTCTTACATTTTAAAACAAGTTTCTAGATATTTAAGTATTTTTTTCCTTCCACTTAATTGTCAGGTGATGGTGTATCAAGCTAGTGTTTCTGATGGCCAGTTATTCCTTTTAAAAAGTGCTTTTAACCTCAGGAAAGCTAATGATTTTCTGGATGATGCTCTAAAGGCTCTAAATTCCTTCTGGTTTTCCTGGAGGCTTGCTACTCTCCATTGATTTGTTCTCTGAGCTGTTGATTTTTTTTTTTTTTTCCCATTTTGTCTGAAGCAGGTACTTAAAGTATTTTTGGTGTTGTTGAGGAATCAGAGATGGTTAATGCAGAGCTGAAGCAGAGGGGTGAGCTCTGGAAAGCCCAAAGTATCTGCTCAGCTGGGCCAGGAACAGGGAGGAGCTCAGGGGTCACCCTCATCCCCACCTGAGGTCTCATTTTTAACTCAAACTGCACTTGACCAAGTCTGTCTGGGTTTTTTGAAATACCTCTTAATATTTTACCAGTTCTTCCAAGCTGGTTTCCTGTAGTATAACTACTCAGTCTTTCTTCAGCACTATGAAACCTGGGGTAAAA